GCCCCGCCGCCCCGCCGCGCCGCGCACCCGACCTGCGCCGCCCGCCAGCTTCTCCGGAAAAAGAAAGTATATACTAAGTTGCACCTTTGGTTTGTTGTGTTTTGTGGTTTTTTTTTTTTCTTTTCCCTGCTGGAATATCTTTCATTTTTAACACAGACTGGTTGGCCAAATTCTCAAAACACAGAGCAATGCCGTCCGGCACTGGGAACCGGAGAACTGCAGGTCATTGGCACTGCATTTGTCTAGCTCATTTATATGTTTCACTCAATCATTTTAATGTCAACAGCTTTTTCCCCATCATTAGACGAGTATTTCTCCTTATTCAGTCTCTGAAGGGGAAATCGTTATACAGTGTACATTTGCTACTCCGTTCATTTCCAACACTTTTTACACCATGATACACTGTAAAGCAACTGCACACTTTGTGGTAAAGTTCAGTCAAACTAAACTGTGATACAAAAAAATGACTTTAAGCAAGTAGATGTTGATCCTTTGGCAGCACAGAGCAGTAGGTCAATTTCTAGTTAAAGAGTTACTGAAATGGCAAAGATGCCCTTACAGCAGTAGACATCTATTTACATTCGATACGCTTTTTACTTATCCAATTTATGCTTTTTACTTAGCCAATTCACTCTGGAAATAAAATACATTTACATTATCGGTAACTGAGTACATAACATATATACGAGTGTGTACACACACAGTTTATAACCTAGAAACAGCGGAGTCAAAATTACTGATGAGACAACTTTACTTTTGTCAAGTTTAACAAGAAAAAATAAATATGGCAACTTTCCTACTTTATCCAGTTAGGTAACAGGATATTTCAGCTTCTGGAGGGACTGCAGATTGATTTTTGTGGCAAAGATGTGTGCAAATTACACTAACCTATTGGTGAATGGGATTCTTTCGGCATGGAGTGTTACCGTGAAATGATTTCAGAAGGCCCTGCTGAAGTCACAAAGCACGGAGGTACTGCTAGGCCTTCTGTTCAGAGCGGTGATTTGTATGCACCGTTGTGTTCCACTGCTAAAGCAGGATTCGGTTCTGATGGTTAATGTAGTGCTACAGTAGTCGAGGTAATCCAGTTCAGGGCAGAAACCATTCACCTGGCCCGGCTCTCAACAAATACTCAAACAAACGGGGGAAAAAGCATGCAGTTAGTTATTTTAGGTGCCAAGGACAACACTTTTTTCTGCCCTTTCCTGTCTTGAGAGCTAGGCCAACTAATCTTGTGGAAAAGTAGAGGGAAGACAACAACGGCACAGAGCCAAAGTGGGACCCTGCCTTCTAACAAAGGAAAAGAAAACCCTCTGGATCTCTCTGAGCGGTCACCAGCGGCACCAAGGAAAACCACCGCGGCTTATTGAAATGCTGTCACCGTCACTTCCCAGCCACGGGCCGCCGCGGTGCCCGTTGACATCCACCCTCGTCCTCGAGCTTTTCCCAGCCCCACAGATTTTGGCAGAGCGCCTGGAGACACGGCCCCGCTCCCCGCTCCCGA